GACACACGCTACCTGTCATCATCAAGATGGCGTGGTGCACAACTTGAGTTGTCTCCTGAGTGAGATACATGTCATTGGACTTTTGACTGATAAAGTGCAGTTGTAGGCTCCACACACAGTAAACAGCGCTCCGTAATTTCCAACCACAAAGCAAAAATCACAACCGTGAAGCTCAGGTTACAATAACACAACAGTAAATCTGCCTCTTATCTGAGGTCACTCTTGGTGGCAATTTGGGCGTCAGGTGGGGCTGGACGATATGACTTAAAATCAAAATCATGACTATTGAACATTTTACCTTGATTACGATTAATGAACGATTATTTTGTAATTTCAGACAATCATTAATAACACTGAACGCTTGTCTATAGGGCTGCGACAAAATATATTGTTTGAGCATCGTCATCGCAGGATGTTCAATGCCAAACAAGTCCAATTAACTCAAGCACCTCAACAGAAACCTGCACGGTTCTCATTTTCCACGACTAATCTACAAGAGAAGTCTGATGGAACATCATTTACTCCAATTTAAGGGTTTTTGGATAAGCAGTGTTTGTTGCTAGTGAGTGACAAGCAGGCTTTGCATGCACAGCAAACCACCAATCCCAGTACTGATCTTGATCAGTTTATCAAACACGCCCTGTTAGTTGTCGATTGACAACTTGAAAATAAGTCAGGAACAGGAGAAAACCACTGACACAGTGGTTTTGGCTGCAAAAATAAAAGCTCAGCTCAGCTTCTCAGCTGATTTATTCCCTCAGTAAACACTTTCCTGATGAGTTTATGGTCTCACGTTGTTTTTTTATATACAGGATATATTAATAAATGAGGATTAAGAAGATAATTGAGCGTTAAGAAGAAATATAGCTTTGTTTTGGCCACCGGTCCAACCGTCAGCCTGCTCGTTATCTTCCACGTGGCCTCCTGTGTGCACCTCTCTGAAACACTGATCACTCTTCACAGTGATGAGTGAAAACACTTATTACAGAATGTTTATAACAATAATTTTAATAAAGCAGATGTTAAATAGAACTATTGGGGTGGCGATGGAACAGTGGTTAACACATCTTTGGTGTGGGAGAACTGTGTTCAATTCCCACTATGTTCCTGTGCAAAACACGAGAGGAGTGTGAATACAAAAGCTAATCTACTAAAACTACATCTGTCCACTTCAGACGCACCATCCACAACCTGAGCTAGTATAAATGAGTGTTAGGATAATATTATAACATTACATAAAAAGTATAATGTTAATTTAAACGTATACTGTTGTGTAATATGAATTATATAACATACACAATTCATATATCTTCTCAAATCCTCTTTCTAATTAAAAACCTGTTCTTGATACCCAACCCTAACTACAACCCTGATTTCAAAGGCTGTGTTAGAGCTGCACGATTATGGACAAAATGATAATCACGATTGTTTTGATCTATATTGAGATCACAATTATTCATTGATGTTTAGGGATAACATATTATTAATGTACTTTCAAATTTAAATAAAAAGGCAACTGTTTTCACATCCATGATGTGCTGCATTTCTGCTAATGTACAGATCTTGGCATCAAAATAAGACTGGTCCTTAAATTGCATCATCTAGAGGCAAAATATAAATAATTTCACCCGGAAAGTCCACTGAGCGCTTTTGTCCCGTCCTCTGCACAGTGTTAAGTTCCACTGGAAGTGAGCTGAGCAGGTTTTTGTCTTGTTTCACAAGGTTTATATATTTTCCCCTAAGTCAAAAACTCACAAAACTCCGTGATTTTTTTTTTAAGGGAGTTTGGGGTGGATTACCTGCTGCCTCATGCACAGACTGTTTTCTCTTCTTTAGAATTATGATGAAATTGTCCGGTGCTGTCTAATCTTCAGCACTCTGTAGCAACATGTTCTCCAGCTGGGAACGTCGCCATGAGCGATGCATCGTTTATGACTCTAAAGTCAGGGCACGTCTGGAATGTGAACGCGGCCATTGTGTATCATAATTATGTGCTATTCTCAGCGCCCTTATCAACCAATCAATCAAACTGACTTAGGGAAACTGTATAGAAAACGTTACTGCGCATAAAGTGAAGTAACACGGCTTTAGCGTAAAGCTTGCTCGCTAACAAGACGATTCTTCATCATCCACAGAGCAAAAACGTGTCTCCTCTTCAGATTCTCCGGTTTTGCCAGGAAAGCTCAGCTTTGCAGACGCTGCAATTAAAAACCTTTTTGGCTAAATGAAAAGTGAAATGCTCCCACACTTTGGAGGATTTAGGTCGTGAAGGTGTTGTGTTAGCAACTTTACTGTTCACATCACTTTACTCTTTTAAGCTTACAGTGTTGTGATGGCCCAATGACGTCATGAATGAATCGATTATTAAATTTGTTGGCAACGAATTTAATAATCGATTCGTTCATTAGACGTGTTTGAGAGAAGAGCGAGAATTTCGGTGAGTTTGCCATTTGTGATGGAGACAAATTCAAATGCGTAACAAAGCAGGAGTGAAACTGTCCAGTGGACAACTGTTTGTGTAAGAAATGAAAACCTTCATTGGGCTGTGTGTCACTGCGGGCGTTCTTCAGCTGCAAGCGAGGAGAGAATATTGGCAAAAAGAGAAGTAGCTTTATTTACCTCCAAGAAAGGGACAGTTTTGCAGTGATCGGACCCACCCAACATAGTCTCTCCAAATCCTGTGGGAAGCACTGAGGAAAAATCACATTCTTTAATTTAAGCAATTGGGGAAAAAAAGTGGCAAAATTATGAATGTAATTGTTCGATGTTAGGCAAATTTTTTCATTTTGTTCGGCCTCAGCCAAGAATTTTCATTTCAGTGCATCACTATAGCAATTTTCTTGATTTTTAATAATTTTTTGGGAATAAACGCAAGGGCAAAGGCAATCATTGCCAATAAAAGCCAATGGTGTGCACTCTCAAGTGGTTTTTATTTCAGCTGTCTGCTGCAGAGGCTAAGAAATAAAGGTTTAAGGTTATCAGAAACCCCCTCAGTTTTTAGGAGGTTGTTTTCAAACCTTGGCTCAGGTTTTAGAAAGCTATTGAGGAGGGCGCCACAGGTGTTAATGGGTTAAACTCCATCAGATGTTAAATGTTTATTTTAAGCTGAGAAATTATTTCAGTGATTCATTTTCACAGTGACCATCCTTTAGTGACGTTGATGGACTTCTTCAGTAAATGACTCAGCTCTTTGTGATTCATAATTTTCCTACCTTATGAAAGGTCTGAGTCGGCACTTAATACTCTTGCAGCCACTGATTGATTGATTGAAAACTAAACCTGAACCTCTTAACTCACCCACCAAGTTACTGAGGGAATGATTCTCCTCTCTGAACAGTAATTAGTTCAGTAGAGCTCAGAAACACGGAAGCTGTTATAATAGTTGTTGCATTAACATTGGTGTTGAAAAACAAAGCTGTAAATTTAAGTTTTTAACGCTTCGGTAATGCTTGCCAATGCTTTTAACACAGTTTTTTTTTTTTTTTTTTCAGAAGTGTTTTGCAAAGACCCAAGGACATGAGCAGATAGAGGACAAGGACAGGAGAGATTAAATTAGTTCATCACACATGCCAAGAAACTAGGCCTGTGTGTTCCTGATTGTCCGCATGCTGTACATATATACTTTTATAGGTTTTCTCGTTTTTTATTTTTTTCTGGCCATTTCTCGTTCTTCGAAAGGAAACTGATTCACAGAACGTTTAAAGTAAACACAGACAGTATGCGTTCATTATACCAGACCTCCAGGTCTGAAAAGAGAAGCCAGTGGTGAAGAGCCTTAAACCTGCGATCTCTCTAGCAGCCAGCAGGGGGCGACTCCACTTGCTGCAGAAAGAAGTGTGATTGCATAGAAGTCTATGAGAAAATGTTTCTACTTCTCAGCTGATTTATTCCCTCAGTAAACACTTTCCTGATGAGTTTATGGTCGCAGTCGTTAGTTTCAAGTCTTCTTCAACACAGCGTGATGTTCATTTAGTAAATTATGGTCCCACTTAGAGGAACATAGACCAGAAAGCAGGGGAGGCTTCAGGCCAGGACTACTTTGTGGTAGGGCTGGGCAGTATGGCCAAAAATGTTATCACGATAAAACATTTCATATCATCCGATATCGATAATTATCACGATAAATGTCAACAATCATGATTTTTTTTAAATTAAAAGGAGGATTTTTGCTCCTGATGGTTAATTGTGTTTTAACTTTTCTTTATGTTCAGAACAAACACTTGACGCCAAACAGTGGATCACTTCACAAATCTGAGGCAGAACATTCAAAACTATTATGATAAAATCTTTTATCATCAAATAAGCACAAGTGAAATTAAGTAAATCTTTTTTTCAGTCCCTTTCAGAAAAATTAAGTGCTAATTCGTTAATGATTCAAATGAATTAAATCAAACATTTATTGATATATTGAACATTTGTTATTTGTTGTTTGTCATATTGTTATTAGGAAATATATTGCGATAATTATCATGATTGGTTTTTGTCCAGCCCTACTTTAAATCTGATTCTGTACTGTGAGTAACCCTAGAGAGAGTGGGGGTTTGGAGGAACCGCTGCCTTAGGGAGTGGCAACCTTGTGATTGAGTTACCCACAAAGTCGCTATCACTGCGACTTGTCAGTTGCTCCAATACTTGCTAACCCCGTATTTCATTATAACCCCGTATTTCATTATCTCTCTTTTTCCTCCTGGGGCCACATTTTTTGATTTATTACAAATGTTCAGAGCTTTCTGTCCTTTTCATTATATTGCATGCACGTGACTCAGAAGATGGCTCACGACTCGGTAGAAGAAACGGCATTTGTGAGCAGATGATAGTGAGGACCTGTTGCTCTAGAGTCGCATGAACCCAGATCTAACCGTCCAGATTGAGGTCGCGTTTCTGATTTGAACCACATATGAAAGTGGATAAAATCAGAACTGGAAATGATTGTGTTCTTAATTTAATTCTTCTGACTGCATTTCTTTCTCCCTGTCTCGTGCGTGTCTTCCTCCTGTCAGCTCCAGGCCCAGAAGCTCCGTCTTGCCAGGAGTCAGGGTCCGTACTACAGCGGCTCGCTACCCAACGTCAACCAGATCGGCAGAAACCCTCAAGACTTCCAGGTGACTAACCACTGACGTCATTTCTGCATCTTCTATTTTATTTATCTTATTTTTTTTCTGAAGCTCACATTGCTTTTAACTCTTCTGTTACTGGTCCCACCACTACAACTACTGTTGTTTTTGTATTACTTGTTCTATATCTTTAACTACTACTCGTAGTATTTATACTACTACTTCTGCTACTTCTGCTCTGGGACATTTTGATGGTCTTCTGGGACATTTACGACTACTGCTTTCACAGCTTTTTCTTAGACTCCTAAAATGATTTCTGCTGCTACAACCTTTATTCCGGGAATCCACTGACTCCGCCAAAGGCATGTTATGGCAGCACCACGGTTTTGATGCGTCCTCAGCACCGGCGTCAAAGTCCACTGGAAAACGTTTAAGCAGCGGAGTGTGCAGCCAGCCCCACGTTATTGACTTGTTATTACTTTGTCCTTCTTTTGCTTCTACTACCTTCTTCACGGCTCTATGTGACCCCGTTTCGTTCCGTCAACTTCAGGCTGCATATCCTTCCTGCCTGGTTCGATCTGCTCTGTGCTGCTTCACGTGGCTTGTGGCAAAAATAGACCTGCTACCTATTCTCTGCAGAGTGTAGCAGAGAGCTGCTTCTGGGACGCACTGCGACCGCATCTGGTGGACTTAGGAGCATTGACTATAATGGGCGCGATTAGCTCCGGCAACCGCGGCACAGCCGTTATGTGCCGTAGCCGGAGTCCGTGGATGTTGGGGGTTAGTGGTCTGCTGCTACAAAAAATATTTCTGTTTACCGTCATTACCCACTACTAGCATGCCTGCAACATCCTCTGTTTCTACTACAGCTAGTACTGCAAATACTAGCTTCGCTACTAAAATAAGAGCATCTACAAATAAAGTCAAATACAATTAGAGGACAGAAGCAGTTGTGGTGAGTTGGAACTTGTGGTGTTTTGAGGACACAGTCTGCTGTGTCACCAAAATCCTGCAGCCTTCAGCTCTTCACTTCTGAGTCACCAGTCTTTCTCATCAGCTCTGCAGAGCCAAACTCATTCTGTAATGGATCTTCTCCTTCGCTGATATCACAGCTGAGACTCAGCCTCCCTCCTCTTCCTCCTCTCTCTCTGAGGTCAGACAGTGATCAAAGTAACTTGGCTGCAGGTAGTGGGATGTTTTTAGGCTTCTCAGCTCCACTGAGCTCCACCGTGGGAGTTTGGAGGAATTTTAGGAGGTCGAAGCCTCCGTAATGTGGATCTTGTTTCTTCCATGTTTTGATTGTCCAAGACATTAGTTTGTGAAGCAATGCTCTGGTTGTCTTTTTTTCACCAGCACATTAAACACAACATAATAGTTCTGATGAAAAAGAAAAGATGGGAAATTCCAGATGCTGATCTATGGACTGTCTTTTCACCACATTTTAACCAAATTTTATCAAATTCTGTGATTTTGCTGGCCTTTTTTTTGTGAAGGTTGTAGCATAAAATACCTGATTTTGCTGCAAAATTGTGACGTTCTTGGGTATTATTATCTGTTATTATAGATTATGGTTCAATCATTAAACAGGATCCTGGTCTTCACCTTCCACTTCCTTTGCTGTTATGGATGTAGGCAAATGTGAGACGTTGGTATCACACATGTCTGCTGTGTCGCGAGTTCAAAGAAGTGTTTGTTGAACTTGTGACAGAGTTTTGCAGTAAAAGGCGATGATGGGTCACATTTGCAGAAATATTGCTGACAAACAGTAAAGACAGAAACCTTTTATATAGCTTTATAGTCAATGAAAAGGCTTGAGAATGACAAACATACCTTACATGTCTCGTCAAACAAAATGTATTTGGGCTGTAACACACCTCAGCTTGCTCTATGTGAGCAGCAGTTCTGTTGTATAACTTGTCTGAATACCCTAGAATAAAAATACAAGCTAACCAATCTCTTAACATATCTGAAACACAAACCACATCTTTATTTTTAAAATTCAAACCACAATGTTTGACATGAAATGGATTTACATCCGACTGAAACCAACAGGCCTGGAAATTGATCTCTTGAAAGAGTGGGAGCTCTGGTAAGGGCGCTGTTCTCTGCATTGCTTTTGGACTGTAGAAACAATGAATCAATACACATAATTAATTCTCTCTCGCTCTCTCTCTCTCATGCTCTCTCTCTCAGGGTTCCTTCCCCTCTACTCTGGAGTCCAACAGGTCCACTCGGCATCACGGTCTGGTGGAGCGAGTCCAGAGGGACCGCCGTTTCATCTCCCCGGTCCGACCTTACCGCAACCGACAAGTATCCTTCATTTTACTGCCAGCTCTAAATATACAGGCTGTTAAATGAGCCCAAAAGACCCAAACCAACATGTCAGGCCGTCTCTCAGCAGTGTCTGACTCAGTGTCCGAACACAATGGTTCCTCTTAAAGACGAAAGTCTTTAAGAACTCCTCACAGATATGTAGTTTCATGATGTTTTTACTTAGTACTTTAACTGCTGGTGATGGGATTAGTATATTAAAAGAAAAATATAGAATAGCATTAAACTGATCCTTTATTAAACATAAAAATATTTCTACCTTCTTCAACCATCAACAGTTTTAACAGTTCAGCAGCCTGCGTGTACATTTTGCCGGCCTGTTAATTCCCCTGTCAGGGCCATCTAAATCATCAAACAATGCACTGCTGTGAAACATCACACAGAAATATTATTGTTTCTCCTGTGAGGTTTGCTTTTTGTTGTCTTGTCAATTGGACAGTTATTATCTGTTTTTAGGTCACAGCAGCAACACAACATTCTCTTTGTTCCAGTGACTCTCTGCAGGCCGATCTGCATTCAACTTACTTTCTGTATTTAATGGATTGTAAGTAGGCAGCAGTAGCCTGGGTAGTCACTAAGTGGAAGTGAATTTATGCCTTGAAAGGATAATTTTGGAATCCATGAAGTAGATGCTTCAGCCGGCAGCTGAACCTGCTGCAGTGGCTGCAACATATTCCTTCTGGGCGATTGCGGCCGTCTTAATGGCGTCCACAAAAAAGGGCTTCTTTTTGACAGCGACATGCTCAGACTGTTATACCAAATGATGTACGAGCACAGTATGCGAGTAACTACCGTAACTACAACCTACAATAATCCCCCCACCCTGCTATATAAGGAGGTTGTGGATTCGGCTAGCTGGATATTCAGCTATATCAGCTGCCTTTTGTTGAAACGTGTTCAACTTTTCATAAAATCGATGTGCTCCTCAATTTCACTTTTCATCAGCTGACCAATGGGGTGGGACATAAAAATGGTTTGACGTGCTTCAATAAACTTTCAAATGTTGAACTCCCGCATGAATGGTTCTGATTATTGATGAGATGGCAGCATTAACAAATGAAGTAGGACATGAAACGGCTGTTTTGTCCAACTGGAATTAATTTTGTACGACATTGTGCTTCTTTTGGCCATATTGTCCAACCCTACTTTCAACCTCTCTGGGTAGAGACTGTGACTAGAGCAAGTCCTATACTGTACTGTGATTGGCTTTGCGAAGTGTCAATTGCTCTAAAGGAATACATTGCAGTTGGTTCAGCTGCTGACTTAAGCCACCTACTGCTGGATTCAAAACTTGCTGTACCTACTAGTAATTTTAACACCAACATACGTGAAAACAGAGCCCAGGTTTAAAAATCCTGAAATTATCCACCTAAAAGGGCAGTGTCTGTGTTTAATTTAAGGTTTAATTTCAGTTCATGTGAATGGGATTTCTTTGTCTAAGTTGTTTTTTTGAAACAGAAGATGGTGTCTTAGACCTGTAAACCTGCAGTTGTTCAAAGTTAAGTGGCTAAACTGTTACTGGTTAGAGACACCAAACAAATTCTCACAAGATCTTTAAATTCAGGTTACATGAGGCCCAGTTACAGATTGTTTATTTCTTGCAGTGGAAAAGGTGTTAAAAAGACTGACTGCCAGTGTAATTTAATGGCATCAGTAGTCTTAATACAAACATATAAAAACATGAGAGCCAACAGATAAAGGAAGAGAAAGCATGAAAGTTGAGTAGCTCAAATCACCCTGGACATCTGAGTTAAACACCCGGTCTGTTCGTCAGAAGGTGTGAAAGAGTGGAGCTGGAAACACACCGAGTGTGAAGCTGTGCAGTCAGTGCTGAGAACTGTTTAAATCCTCTCCTTTACAAGTCTGTCATCTGATGGCCAAGCAAAGAAGTAGACTGTTCAGTCTTATTTGTGTCGTCTTATTTATCTGAGAACTGTGATTTTATACTGGATTCTCTGGCCTTTTAACTATACCTTTTTGGGTGGCAGTAACGTGCCTGGGCGTACCGGGGCGGCCGTTAATGTGCCTGGGTGTCCTTTCCAAGTATTACTTTATATTGCTGTTTCTTTAACCAGTCGTTTCCTCAGATGGACAGCTCGCCGTATAACTCCGCCTACCTGTCCCCACCTCCTGACCCCAGCTGGAGAAGGTACAGTCTGTTAACCTCCCCCTTAACCTCCCTCCTGTCTGTTTGTCTCCACAGAAACGTGGCTGTCCGCAGGGATGCCCGTTTGTTATTTGTTTGTTTGAGTCTCCTTTGCTGCCACTGCTCAGACACTTTTCTGAAGCCTTCGTGACACCTCAGTTGGTTTAAAAATAAAAAGCAAAACCACATGGATTCACGGTACATCACATGATGAGACAAAGACAGAAGAAGTGTAAAAAATGTGTTTTTGTTATGATAAGGAATAGATGACTTGTAAATCTGAGTGGGTAAGAGGAAGCACATTCCCTGAGGCTATTCACCTCTTGAATTATAGATATTTGGCACCTTAAGGTACATGTGTTTAGCTTATTGACTCCTCTCTACATTTATTACGTTGTTTTTAGTCACCAAATTATCTTTACTAAAACTCTGGGTCCTCTTACCAGCTTTTTTACACTGACTCCACTCATTTTACATCCAACGCTAATACCTTATTAAATCAAACACCCATAGACTTAGATCACTTGTTAGCTAGTTCCTTTTGCTGATAAAGGCGATAAGATGGAGGTGAAAGCTCAGAAACAGCTAATGGTATTTTAACACACATCAGCTTACACTTTTTAATAATTATAAATAAATGTACAGGTACTATAAAACCTTAAATTGTGTCTTGATGGAACTTGCCAAAGTCCTGTGTTTTTATTTAACCAGGTCCCCTTTTAAACATTGAATATAAAGAAGGCAAAAATAAATAACTAAAGCAAGGAATTTGCAGTTACTGGGCAAATGAATTCAGCTGAAGTTCATCCCCTCCCTCCTGCTGAAGTGTCCTTGAGCAAGCCATTAAGCCCCCCCTCCTCCCACCCTAAGGGCTGCTTCCTCTCGCTCTGAATGAATTAGCACAAGAAAATCAGAATCACATGAGGTGACACTGAGGCTTTATAAAGGTTTTTATGGATCCTACTGAGGCTGCTGCTTCGGTTAATTTGACTCTGCAGCAGTAACACTAACCTCTAGACAACTAACTGGAAACAATGTTGATTATAGCTGGCGTCTATCCAAACTTGAGTTGGTTTTGAAGAGCTCTCAGTTCTTTTTTTCCCCTCTCTCTTCTTTTTTTGGTTGCTCTTTCTCCTTCTGGGAATCTGTATTTTTTTCTTCAGTTTTCTGTCTCTACGTTCCAGTCATTTAATTTCCTCCTGCCTGCCTGCCTGCCTGCTTGCCTGCCTGAGTTCTTTCTGGTTTTCTTCTAACAAGACAACAATTACCCTTCAGAGAGAGACTGGCCTCGGTCCACTGCCCCAGAAGGTCCCACTGCACATAACAACACTCAGTAATACTCTCACACGAGGCTGGCAGATAACCTCCAACCGTTTCCTAAAGTCTGACAAAGGGAAAGACTGTTTAGGTTTTACTCCTCCAGCTGTAATTTTGTCAAGTCACCAACCACCAATTGGAGTCTTTCGAAACAAGTTATCTGCTGAAACAGTCATAGTTGTTGCCAATTTCGAGAGAGACCGATCCTATCTGCACTTTGTCTTCAGTTGCCTGAGAGGAGTTGTCACATTTTTGATTCTGGGTTTGCCGAGGCTGCAACGGCCTCATTTCAAGAAAGAAGCAGAGTTTATACAGTATCTCACAAAAGTGAGTACACCCCTCACATTTTAGTAAATATTTGATTATATCTCTTCATGTGACAACACTGAAGAAAAGGCTTGTATAACAGTGTAAATTAACTGTCCCCTCAAAATAACACATCACACAGCCATTAATGTCTAAACCGCTGGCAACAGAAGTGAGGACACCCCTAAGCGAAAATGTCCAAATTGGGCCCAATTAGCCATTTTCCCTCCATGGTGTCACATGACTCATGTTAGTTTTACAAGGTCTCAGTTGTGAATGAAAGATACTGTAGACAAGTTAAAAGGAGTGTGTTTATTCAGCAGAGATGTGGTAACCGCTCGAGTATCCAGTTCTGAGCGGGATGCAGTTAGTCAGTGCTCTTCTTAAGAAAGAGAATCAACTTTCATTGCCAAGTAGGTTTACAACATGCAAGGAATTTGCTTTGGTGACTTGGTGCATAACAATAAACATAAACCTATATAAATATGAAGTTGGCAAGTTATATAAATATAAAAGACTTCTGGTGTTCCTGCCATATTTTTTGTAACTATAAACAATTGCTGTGAAAAGATCAAACCCAACAGTGTGTTAATCCACTTGTTTTTATGACTTCCCAACATTATCCAAGGCAACCGGTTAACACAGAGGAAGACATTTGATTAACAGCAAATAACACAGCAACATCTCTTACTAAAATATGATAAGATATAATTATAAAACAGAGGTAATTATAAAAATAAAGGTCTGGTACTGTTTGCAGTGGATCTAAACAAAGGCCTTCACTCTTAAGATTTACAGTACAACTAATTAAGGCTTATCTAGGCTTCTGAGACCGTTTTTATAGCATGTTAACTACCCAAATGCGATCTGTGCTGCAGGGCAATAAAACTTTGGCTTTGCTTTAAAAGGATGAAAAGGAGAAGTTTGTTTTTAGCTGCTCTTGCTCCACACAGCACAGTGAGAGTAGTGTTCCCCCAATTAAAGGAAAACCAACTTCATTATGTTCAATGTGTTGTGGAGCAAGGTAGCTTTCTTCTGTCTCTGCTGCTGGCAGACTCAACAGTCCACCATGACTTCTCCAAATGTGGGGATTTACAGCTTTTCTCTGTTTTGAATCTTTGTAAATTAAATATCTTTGAAGTTTTGGACTTTTCAAAACATCAAAATGTGGTTTGTGGAATTAAATGGGACAGATATTTTACACCAAACTAAAATATTGGTGTTGTTTTTATATTTTCGAACAATCGCTGATACACAGACACACAAAGAAACTCAAAATAAAAAAAGACTTTGTGCCGCATCAGGTGAAAAGCCAGCCTCCCTCTGTCCTTCGATCACTGCCTCCATCTTTCTCCTTCCTTTCGCTTGCGTTTGTTTTCTGAGCCAATGCTCTTCTTCTTCTCTCCATTTTTTCTTAGTCCGCACTTTTTTTTTTCCCGATGCTCTTGCTCGGTGGAGAAAAATAACTTTTTGTTCTTGTCGATCATAAAAAAGGAATTGGTCCGGAAACTTCCCTGGGGATAAAAGCCAGTTGTTTCGTCTCCCCACCACTGCACTCAACAGGTGAATCCTCCTCATCCTCTTCTTCCTGTACTTCCTTCTTTTTTTTACTTCCTTCTGCTGGACATCCTCCAGCTACCACCTTGAGAGTGGAAGCATGTCTTGTACAGAATAAATAATATGTGGGTGAAAATGAGAATGTTTTAAATTTTACATTCATACATTTTTATTTCTTCTTCACAATTATCACTTTGTGAATTCTTCCTTACTTGTCTGTCTTATCCTCCTATGGTTCTCCTTTTTGTTCTTTCATCATTCTCAATCTCCCTCCATTAGCCTCTGTTTATTCTACTACTCTTTTATCTGCATTACCTGAGCTCCTGTTACATAAATACATCTGTAAAGACCAGGACACACAGAAAGTCTCACTTAAAGAGACCAAAGAGGTCATTTTCTGTGGCAGGAGCCAAGCAGAAACAGCTGTGTTCTCAGTTGCTGGGTCCTCTGTCGATTGTGTCTGTAATGCTTTAAATAGTTTTCAGTGTGCATTGGCCTCCAATTAAGAGGTTAAATATTTTCAATATCATCTTGATGTTCTGAAAACAATCTCAAGAAGATTAAATGTCCTGCTCTCGTGTGTGAGAGGAAATAAGATATGTCTTTTTACAGTTACAGTTGGTTCAACACATTTAACATTTTTAACACAGCTTTGGTTGGTATTTTCAGTTGTGAAGGGTGTGTTTCACCCTGAAATCACACTGTGATTTTATTCTCTTATGTTCTCTTTTTCCTTCTCTCTGTCTTTGCCTACATCCCTTAACACCGTGTGTCTCTCGCCCCTCAGGACCAACTCTGACTCGGCCCTCCACACCAGTGTAATGAATCCTCCCACAGGAGACCCCTTCACCACGGGAGGACCCACCCTAACCCCCCAGAGCAACAGACGCACTGGTGAGGCCAAACTCCCGATCAAAAACACTCACTCTAAAATACACAACCAAGAGAAACCGTACAGGAAATGTACCTTATGTTGTGTAATTTTTAATAACTAAAAAGACTCTGGCAATCTTGAACAACTTCATCTTCAGGTTATTTGTAGTGCAACACCATCCATGCATACTTAAGAGGTGAAGGGTGCATTCAGACCAGGTTCACTTGCTTTATTTATATTCTGGAGCGGGAAAAAGCAGGAAGCTTTTCATTCACAAACCGAACTATATCACATATAAGCTCTGGCGGAGAGAGCATGCTCTTATGTGTGCCTACCTAGGCATGCTGACAGTATCACTGGTATAAAGTCTGAATTAATAGAGAGAGGCTATGTTCATACAACCAGATGAACAGATTATTGCATCAGAAATTTTTACTGCTAATTTGTGCTGGAGTTCAGAGCCTCTAACCGACGTAACTTCCCCATTTCGGTTATTTTGGTTATTCAATCCGGTTAATATTGTGTGTGTTCATGCTACTTTCCCCTTGAAACACAGTGTGTGGGTGAAAATCATTTGTTCCACATTGATATTAAATAACTGAGTGAAAGTTCAGTAGCAGTGGTCATAATCACGAAGCGCCGAATAAAGGGGAACCATGTCTCTGTGATCTGCAAGTCAACATTACCTTATTAATTAACATTTAGATAGTGTAATGGATTTGTGAAATCTGTGAATAAATAAACCCAGCGTTAATAGTTACAGTATAAACCTTGTCAGTGAAATATGAAGGCAAAAAAACAACAACAAAAAACAACCATCAAAAACAAAATAATCGTTCAATAATCTTAATCGAGGTGAAATGTTCAATTAATCGTGATTTTGATTTTAGGTGAAATGGTCCAGTCCTACTGCTAACATTACTGCATACTCCTCGGTGTAATGCTGTCATTAATGAGTCCTGTTTAGCCATTTCATCAGCCCTAATTACATAATCAAAATCTCACTCTGCCTCTGAACACAGCGCACTTGTCTCCAGATTTGTCTCCCACATGAGGTAGTTATCAGTGTAATTAAAGATTTGCATTGACTACGAAAGCCTGTTAACTCCAAAAAAGGCGCAGTGCTTTCTGCAATTGGGTCAGATTGAAGTCGGGCCACGTTCACACCTTAAAATGAACCGTACCAGAGTTCGTTTGGAACTGTAATGAGACCACCTCTTCATCTAGGTATTGGTATGGTGGTTTGGTCCACACCCGAGTACGATTGCTGTATTCACATCTGCCCAAAAGATCCGCACCGAGTAGGGGAAACAAACTCTTGTGCGATTCAACTGAACCAAAAAAGACACCCTAAAAAAAATCCTGACAGAGCCTGCTGACCAAACCTGCAGAGTTTATTCCAAAGAAGTTTCTACACCCCAAAACACAAGTTTGTTAGATAAGTTAATTCTGGGAACAGCAAAATAACCAGCATGAAGAGAGTGCAAAGGATATAATGTAAGACCCAGGACACAAAATTAGCACCAGTCAATAGCCATATACTGGTAAAATATTCAAGCGACTGGTAGACTTGCTTCACTCACCAACGGTAATGTATTGAGTGCATGGCAAGTTCTGAACATTCCGTAGCCATTTGGATGGGGGGCAAAAACTTAATTTAGCATTTGGATATGAAAGTATTGGTAACCAATGTAAAGACGTCAGGGCAGCTGTAATGTAATCTTTAGGTGCTTTGTTTTGGACTGAGTAAAGACTTCTGTTGTCATAAACAGACCAGAAAAAAATGGTTTTATTACACCAAATTCTCAGTCCAAATTCTGGACTGTGTGGCTCTGGAAAATTGTGCAGCCAGATTAATGGCAACATCCATTGAAACTCATCCAAGTCTGGCTCGATCAACAAGCAACATTTTGCTCTCTGTTGTATTAAAGTATATATAACATTTTTACACGTCCAGTGACATAGCTCTGACTACTTGGTTTTTAAATTTTTGAAGTGACAGCATTTGTGCAAAAGAAAATATGTCAAACATAGAATAAATAAAATGTGTATAAGTAGTGATCCCTGTGCGACGCCTCAGCCAGTTTTAATCTTTCAAGCTCAGTTTTGGAACAAATCAGTGGTTGTTTTTAGGCGTTCAGTGACTCACTGTTCCTCCAAACTCACATGTTAATAACCTTTTAAAAGTAAATGTTCTATATATAAAATCTCTGTAGCTGGACTTCTCAGGTCTCCTGGAGCAAGCCGTCTGGTTATTTCCCGGGTCTCCACGAAAACTGGTGGAACGTCTTTTAAAACCAAACTAAAAACATTACTTTACCGGTCTTAACCAACAATTTATTTAAATTTATTCTTGCATATTTCATTGGTTTTAACTCACATGTCTTATTCATTTATTTAGTCTTATTTTATTCTTAATTTTAAATTAAAAATGGAGCAGTTGGTAGAAAAGCAGTTCAAAACAGTGCCAGAACAAGAGGAAATCTGAGGTTTTGCCATGTTCAACATGAACATCACACATTGTAGATAAGTAATAAAATATGGAAAAGCATAATAGGTCTCCTTTAATAACAATATAAGTATATTATTTTAAGGAAAAGGGACTGAAAATTTTACTTGTGCATATTGCACAGGCTGTTTCACACTACAAGAACTGATTTTGGTGAACAGTTTAGGAGAACATTTCACAGAAAGCAAAGACCTATAACAGCCCAACAGCTGCCTTGTTCATTCATCCAGTTAGGGACTAAAGGTTTAGATTGAAGCTTGACTGGAAGAAAGTCATCTTGTGTTGTCTGCCTCGAGCTGATTCATATGTTGCCTCTTAAAACCACAATGACAGAAGTGAAAATGGTGAGATGTCTGTCACCCAGGTTTTCTTTTTCTTTATTTTGGCTGTGAAGCACTGATGGTGACCTGCTCTTTGTTAAACTGACTCTTCTGGCCCGACTGAGCAGCTCACACATTTCCTCAGGAAAGATCTCAGTCTAAACAGGTTTTTCTCTGGCTGCCAGCAGAATGAGGATGTTCTGAATGTAAACTGAGCCCAATATTTCCACCTGGGTTAAAAAAAAAAACTTTTGTGTGTCTATGTGATCTTGCAGGTCAGAGTGATGGAGAGAGCAGAAGAAGTGAGTTATATACAAACACATTCACACACACACTGCTGTCAGGTTTCAGCTCATTGTCTGATTTTCAAAGATCTGAACTGATGGTCACATTTCTGAAACAGGAGCAGCATCACCTTTTATTTATAGAAAATACACATGACTGTCATTGTGGTAATTAGTAGCACATGTATGGGCTCAAATTTTACATTTTGAGCTACTTAAATTTTTGTTCAGAAAAAATATTAAAAGCCTGTAGTTGTACACCCCCATTTTTAAACCTGTGTCTGCTTGAGAATGTAAATAAATAAAATTAAAGTGGTCTATAAAACATCAGAAAATTGCCCATCTGCTACGCCACACATCTTTCAGATGTCTTTTTTTATTCTAACTCGTAGTCAAAACCCCAGAAATATCCAGTTCACTATAATTTAAGACGAGGGAAAGCAGAAAACCCCTGACTTTTGAGAAGCTTGAACCATCAAATATTTTGCACTTCTGCTTGGAAAAAATACTTTTACAATGAGTCACTTAACAAAATAGTTGCTGATTAATTTTTCCGTAGACCAACTTATCAATTTATAGACAAATGATTCAATGATTCACAGCAGAAAACTGTGAAACTCTCCACACTGTGACCTCATTGCCCTACATTAGGTGTGTGACTCTGAAGTTATACATGCAGTTACAGAGCAAAAACCAAAACCCTACTTGTAACCCAAGCTTGAGCTTGTGAGAGCCCTATAGGATTTTACGGGCAACCATAATATGTGAAACACGTGACTCTGCCAATTTACATGTGCGTGTAAGCTGACCTATCGTATCATTTCACAAGCTCTATATCTTTTTGACCCATATTTAAACTCATGTGTATGTGATGATGAAATGTTTTGTCCCTCAGTGTTTCCATACCCTGTTCCCCCCCATTGAAGAGAATGTGTTGGATGAGGGGAAACTTCTCAAACCCTGGGACACCAAGAAGGTAAAGAAGCAAAACAAGGATTTTCTCTTTTGTGTTTTCCTGTTTTGTTGTTCCTTAGTGTTTTAAATGTCTTTAATGGATATGGTGTTTAAACCTCAAGATTGCTTTTTAGTTTTAGTCCTTAAAATAGCTACGCTTAATAGGGTACACGAAAATCGTAAAAATTTTTATCAATTCCGATTCTACTTATGGAATACGGTTCTTATGTACTCTTGATTCGATTTCCAGCCCCTTCACCACAGATCTTGTCAGCACTCGGTGACCTTCATCCTCTTCCTCCTCGCTCATCTCCCCCCTTCATGGCTAAAGTGAAAGGAGTCTCTGTCCTAGAGGGGCGTCTCTGGGGACTCGTCTCTAAGAGAAATATCTATTGAATCTTTTGTAGCCCTCACTGCTTTCCCTTCAGTATAAAAGGTGTTTTGTACCTGAGACGTTGCTACTGTTAGCGTTAGCTGGATCTGGGGCGTCACTGTAGCTGGGAGAGCGCGGCACGTTGAACACGGTGAAGCGTTCCTTCAGATTCACGCCGTGTTGAAGTAAAAGCTTCGTCATGTTGGAGCTGCTTCCTGCCTCGCACCAAACCTCCTTACTGCAGCTGTTGCATTTTGTTGCATCTCTGTTTTAGTGAAGCTAAGCCAAACTTTGGAGCGTTTGCTGCGGTCCGCCATGGTCCAGAACTGGAAACAGAAGGACTCTCTTCTTCATGCTTTGTTCACATAACAAATGAGGTGACGTTAGGTCGGTGTAATATACTCACCGCAGTTCAATCAGGAGCTGAAATATGCAGAAAGTTTGGATTCTGCTTCTCTGTTCCTAACCAATCCACAGTTCTTGATATATAACCCTAAAACTAAAAGGAAGTTTTGGACAGGTGTGTTAAAACGGTTCAAACCTCAAACTAAAAGACAAAAACCAAATGGAATACTTTTTCCCCCCACAAAAAAACATTGGTTCACAAAATGTTTGCAGTCAATATCGTTTTAATGTTGAGTAACATTAACTACTATTATTTTGGAAACCTGCATATTGCAGTTATACAAAATGTAAATGACAAAAAGACTTGACAGCTGTGTTCTTCACGTTGAGGAAGAATTAAATTTGTTTTTTAATTTTATATTTCTCACTCCAGTTGCCTCTGTTGTCATCCCGACCCAAGTCCTGTGAAGTCCCTGGCATCAAGTAAGTTTGACACCACTACACACACACACATTACATCACACATTATGTCATAACCACTTTTGACATTTCTTTGGTGTGGCCTGAAATTTGATATGTCCGTTGAATAAGAGTCATGTCTAGGATGGGATACTTTTACTTCTGACTCCCTGCAGGCAGTAATCAGTTCCTCTGCTGCTTTTGTTTGCCCCATCTTTAACTCGAAAGTCACAAGAAAAACAAACGGTGTCACATATCAAATATTCTCTTCAGCCTTTAACCAAAGAAAATCTGAGTACTGGGAATACTTTGAGGCACAGAAAGCTAAACACTAAAGACGTTAAAGTGAGGAAGATAGATGTTTTAATTCTGAAGACAACAACATATTTTTGAAAATCTGACTTGCAGTTCATGGAGCTGTCAAGTATATTTGACTGCTCATTTTGATTTTAACAATTCAGATTCCAAATCCACCTCTGCCTTTCGATTCCGATTCTTATCAATTTACGATTCCAATTCTCGGCTAAGGTGCATGGAGTTTCATGCCAAGTCTCCGGTTTAAAAATAGCAGCAGTTAACTTTGTGTTCACCACAATTTCAGCAATTTGGTAAACAACTTGCCTGATTGCAATGAGGTACTAGTTAGCTCAGGGTTGTCCTAGGTGGACTCCTTGTTGATTTGTACCCCATGCGGGCGTAAGGTGTTTACTCATATTTGTAGTGCATCCTCCCGTGCAAGAAAAAAGCGTCTCACAGGTGTTGCACTGTGCTGACCTGGGCTTTTTCATTGTAAAATAAAGCCATACTTTTGAGCGCCACTTACTATGCTCCATGGTTGCATGGCTGCAGAGCCTGGGAGCAGGGTGGCCACTACAGAAACCAAAACTCGCATGTGTTAAATGTGGAACCGATGATTGAATTTGAAGCCAAATTCAACGGAACTTAATTTTTTAAACTGTTGGAACATCATCTTGATGCCCAGTCGGACTGCTCATTATGACATTGATGCTGCTGATTGTTTTCCAGCATGTTTTAATGTCCAGGAAGATCTAAATCTCTGCACCTCCCCTTTCAGTGTCTTTACGTCCCCGGAGCAGCCGTCCACGCCGGTTCACGGTGTCCAGTCGGCCCTCAACACTGGCGGCTCGCTGCCCGACCTGTCCAGTCTCCACTTCCCCTCCCCGCTGCCCACGCCGCTTGACCAGGATGAGCCCGGCTACCCAGGATCCTCCTCTCTGAGCGGGGGCAGCAGCACAGGGAACCTGGCTTCCACCCTCACTCAGCTGGGCATTAACGCCGCCAACGCTCAGGGAGGCAATGGCAACTTCCACCACCACACACAAAGTGCGTACAGGCTGCTGCAGCGTGTGGGTGTTGTTTGATTACTTAAGCCCTGGGCACACATTAAGATGGGTCAGTCTGTTCAGTTGATTCAGGAGCTAAAAGCGTCTTAAATCAATCCTTTTATAATAACTTAGCATCATATGACAGTGTGTCTGTTTCTATCTTAAATTATTGTGGAATTGATCGATACAAGACTTGTTGTACGTGTAAAAGCTTGTGGCAGGTTGCACAAAACTTCCTTATTTCTTCAGCTGAGGAGTTCTTTAAAGTTTATATATTCCCAAAATGTAGGAAATGGACTAAAAGGGTAGTTCTAGTTTAATACAACAAGTGTTTGCAGAGTTTTCCATAATTTCTATCTGGGATAAAAACATTGTACTCATCAAGTTAATATCTGAGAAACTTTTTTGCTATATATATATATATATATATATATATATATATATATATATATATATATATATATATATTATATATATATATAAAAAAACAGATCACCAGATGACTTCAATCCTCTATTTTAGATAAATTAAACATCACAGACTTTTTTGAGTGCAAACCATCCTTTCTTGAGCTTTAATGCAGTAAACATATTTTAAACAGTTAATTTGGCTCGCTTGATATTGCACTGTCCTGCGATGTGACTATTGTGCAAGGGGACATTGCAATGACGATGCTGAAACGATATATTGTGCAGCTCTAGTAGGTGGAGCAGCCACCGTCACGCAATTGTTGATAGGCTATTACACATGTAATGTGTAACCAGTCAGGTAGTGACGTGGGCGGGATGTTGAGCGAGACTACAGACAGAGAGGCGTCTATATCACAGCCAAATTTAAAATTAGTTTAACCCTAACTTTTTTTGTTTTGTTGATCCAAAAATGATCTGAATCATAGGTTTTGTGATCTGTTGCACCGTAAGTTACAACCCGTTCTCAAAAAGGCAATAAAAGAGCTGATTTATTTCATTGAAAAACTACATATAGCAGCTTTAACTTGGTGACTACAGTGTGGGGAAAAAACTATATAAAAAAAAGATTTATAATCTGGAATTATCCTTTGAGATCAAAACACAACGACACAGAAGGGCTTTTTGTGTTTTAATAAAAAAAATTAAATTCTATGACAGAGGAGTTGGGATTAATTCAATGTCAGTTTTGGTCTTTTCATGGAATTTGTTGATTATAAATTTAAATATAATATAAAAAAGGCTGTATTATCCTTTTTAAAATGGTCTCAGTAGACAGGCCTTGTTAAACTTTCTGTTTCTGTTGTGAGTCATATGTGCATGTTCAGACGTGCGCTTGGATTCGATAAAGAGACCTCCATCGAGGAGCTGCCCTGTAACCAAAGAGTCATAGTTCAGCTCCTGCAACAGCAGTTTTAGATCAGCCTGCTCGGTTGTTGTAAATGTGTGTGGATCAAAGCCTCAGCTAAGTGACTAATGTGAAGGTTAGCAGAGGATGTATGTGGGTGAGAGCGAATGAGATGAAACGAAGGGGGATGTACGGTGGGGCAGCGCTCTAAATTTAGTATCAGAGAGCAAAGGGAGGGGTTTTTTTCGTGGGTGGCGCAGTCGGAAAATGTAGCCGTGTTTTATCGTTTGTGAGGTGACTGTACCAACCACAGGCAGGAAGCTGTTCTCATCTCGACCTCGGCTGCAGCTCTCCGGCCCTGAATGTGGATTATCACATTGTCTTTATAAGGTTGTAAACCAGATGGACAGATATTGTCACCTGGAACCCAAAAGGGGAAGAACAAGCCATTATAAACATTTTATATTTTTACTTTTCCCAGTACCAGGGAGTGTGAGAATTTACTATTTAAATGTTAAGTTCCTGTTCTAAAAACTTTTATCATCATGTCATGTGTCACACCACAAGTTAATGCGTTAGTGAGTAAGTTTTGTGACACATAATTTCCATTGGGGCAAAATTTACACATGAAATATCAAATTCTATGACATTTACCCTTAGAACCCTGCCTTCTCCCCCGACTGGACCTCTGTCTATGTACGCCACAATCAACGACTTACACAGGACTTTCTAGATTGCGGATATCTTGTTTCCCCAGAATATGTCAGACTGTATTGATTTTGGTGACACAATTGCATCTTCTTCTGTCTTACCCTAAATTCAGGATACAGAATGTAACAAGCCACGTAAGCTTTCCGTTCAGGCCCCCGTGAATCAGACATTTGTATTGTTGTTTTTGTTTTTTTCATGAAGAAAATATAAAAAGTATGTGTGAGGGTGTGGTGTGAGAATCCTGTAAGTGGTCAGCAATAGGTGGCCCGCAGGCCAGATTGCTTTGATAGCAGAAAAGTAAAAAAGAAATAAATTGATGGCGGTTGATGCTGAAATAGATCTCAGTCATGGCAGCAACAATGACGCACAAAATCACTTCCTCTGAAGTGATTGTGCCTCCAAAATAAAAACGCGAGAATGTTTTTTGCAGCAATGCTTCATGTTGGGTTTAATGAGAGCTTTTCTGAAGGACATTCGAAGGAGACTCTGGCTTGGATGGTTGGTGTGCTTTTGCATTTACTAATCGATGAGGAGATAAACCTGGGCTGTGTGAGGTGAGGATTCCCCAGAATGTAAAAGTAAACATTACCACAGTCAAGCAGCGGCAGGGACCTGGCGGTTTTTAAAGGTAGAAATGCGGCAGCTGATGCTGCAACGTTATATGGATCAGACATGACCAACACTTGCAGTTTGTGTTCATATCTTTCTTTTTCTTAAGTTGAAAGGTGATCCAAATAAAATTTGACTACTTTTGTCTCTACGGGGGAGACGCAGTGTTGATCTGTTGTTTTGCCCTCCAGGTCACCGCGCGTGTCACGTGACTGAAAACTATGAATAGGCTAATCAGTTTGTTTAACAAGGGAGAAAAAAAGAGAGTCCCAAACTCTACCGTCTGAGCTAAATGTGCACATGAGTGTGTAAGGGTTTGAAATAATTTGACTGAAATAATGTTCTGGCCCGCCATTTAACGGCTTAAAGATTTGGCCTGATGTCAGACTTATTTGCCAACCCCTGCTGTAATGGCTCGTATGTTTAACAAAAAAACCCGGAAGACATTCATAGGAAGACATTCATAGGGCACAATAAACATCGAAAATCACCAATACATTTTGAATTTTGGTGTTCAAACATTGCATATTTAAAATCAAATAAGGCGTCCCTTTATCAACGTCTTTATGAACATCAGACATTTACTGGTCCAAATGAGGAGCATAGAGGAAGAAAACTGCATTGTTTTTGGCTCCACTAGTGTCACTCGGTCAGTCCACACTGAAATATCAGATACATTTTCATCCACTTTGTTACAGATATTGGTACACTGAGGGTAAATAATGTTTCCCACAGAATGACAGTGTAACTGTGGCAACGTTTTATAAAGTAACCGAAAGGACAGAGAACACTGGTCTTTTGGATTTTTCACAGCAGCAGGTGTGCTGCATGCGGAGGAGGCTTGTTCGTGCTTGTAAAACATCCACCATGTCTGCCTCTTCTAACCAGATAACATCTCTCTCTGTGCTTCTCTGCAAAATGCTAAAATGGGTCACCAAATATACCTGGGCAGCCCTCCAAGTTAAAGCCTATATTTAGGAAACATTGGTAACTCTTAATGACTTCTAGATATAGTTAATAAATTCAAAGATTTCTTAAGTAAATCAGAATCAGAAAGCGCTTTATTGCCAAGTATTTTTTTTACATGTACGAGGAATTTGCTTTAGTGATGAGGTGCCACATGTAGACAAACAAACAGTTGATATATAAATAAATGTAGAAAATATAAATACAGAATAAACAAAGGCAAGTTATAAAAAAGAATAAAAGAATAGAGAATAATACTACGTGAATAAGACAACATGGCAGATATTTACATTTGCATTTCTCTGGGTTTGTGCTGTGCAGACATATTGCAGTGGGAGAGGATATAGTATTTATATAAATGACAAGATCTAAAAAAGAAAAATTATTAATAAAGTAATTTATCATTAATGTGGACAAGTGTTGCCACTAGGGATGTCACGAGAACCGATACTTTGGTACCAAGTCGATACCAAAATTCTGAAAAGATGTCTGTATTCATGTTGCTAGGTACTGAAGGTACAAGAGATCCAACCTGTGGAAGGTGCAAGTGCAGCTGCAGCGACAGCTCCACCTTGACTCGACCAATAGAAAAGAGTTTGGTGTAGTTAGTTTCTCGGCTGTTTCCTTCAGTAGCTCCGTGTCAAAGCCTGGATTTCTTCCAGTTTTGGGATCTGTTGGAGAGCTACTTACGCAGACGTTTAACAGTTTGATCACTTGAAAATCACCAAAAATGACGATGCAGTTCGCAGCTCTAAGAACTGAACATCAGTCCAACGCTCCTTTTACTGTAGGAGGAGTTAGGGACCGTCTGAAAAGTGCAATATGATCCATTTCAATCATCAATAACTTCAGTTTTTCAGTATAAAAATCTCAGACAACTGCCAGTATAGATAGAGATATAGATATCTTAAACATTTCACATCTGTGAGTTTGTAAAGAAAAGTTAAGTAATTAATTAAAACATTATAATATGCACAGTACAAGGATGTTTGCTCATTTATGAATATATTGACATCAAACAACCTCTCATCTGTCCTGGACATCCTCTCACAGCTGTTAGTTCTTATATCGCAATATATATTGCTCTTTGAGTGTATGTTGAAGAGCATGATGGGATTTATTGATTTGTTTTATTTTTTTTACTGTGGTATCGAATTTGGTATCTAGAATCATGGAATTTTATTGTTATCTGTATAGACTATTACATTTCTGGTATTGTGACATCCCTGACTAACACGTAAAGCTTGTGCAGACTACACGACTTTCAGCGTCGGCCTATCGCCGTGCTGTTCACACTACACAACTTGCCGTCTTGTGACGGGAGTCTTGAAGCTGTTGTGGCGTTCACACTACGTGACTGATCGGTGACAGGGGGTCACACAATACACGAGCTGACAG